TATCGTATCGTGACCCCTCTGTCATGATATGTATCGTATCGCCAAATTCTTGCCAATACACAGCCCTATTTACAACATTCATGTTTTTTTTTTTATTTAGGAGCTTTTATTCTGATAACAAAATCATGAATTCATTTCAAATTTTAAGTTAGTGAAATTGTGATAAGGCCTTTAAGGAATGTTACTATGAAAAGCCATTTGTTCACTCATGTTGATATAGCTGATATGAGAGAGAAAACATTTTAATATATTCTCAGAATGGCAGCTCCACTGCAGCAAACCAAACCTCAGCATGATTAATAATATACTGCACCGTCTGTTAGGTTGCAGGTTTGATTTAAACGGGATATCCCACGATTACCTTGAAGGCGATACTAAAAAAAATAAAAAATCTAAATCCCTGTTTCGACCGCGTCGAGCTTCTGTTTCATTTCTCCGTGTTTCTTTTTTTTTAGCTTTTCAAGTAAGACTTCATTTTAAACAGGTAACATATTCGCCTTGTGTTTATTTACCTGTTGCCGGTAGGTTAGCGGTGCGGAAAGACGTCCAGGCTGACATTCGGGCTTCTGAAGAGGGAGGAATCGTTCCAGCAGCCGGGCGGGTGCAGACTGGAACCCGGCGTCACCGTCGCAGCTGCGCTACCGTGGAGCAGAGCGTTTCCTGTGTGTTTCAAAGTAAAAGCTTGTGAGCGGAAACGCTTTAATTAAGACGGGAAGTCTGAAAACATCGGAAACGGMATTGACTATAAGGTTCATAGGCGTTCTCAATCATCTTCCCAATTCATTTTCTAAAATTTCCTAAAAGTAACTGAAATGATTTTTATTCTTGTGACTCTGATGCCATTTCAATGGATCTGTGTGTCCTGATGCATCTCAGTAATCCAGGTAAAAAAATCAAAAAGAAAAAAGAAAAATACAAACCCAGGAGCCAGGGAGAAAGAGAAATCACACACACGACAGGCCCTGGAGCAGTGTGGTTATCCTGATTGGGCTTTCCTGAAAGCAGACAGGAAACACAGACAGGATTCCATGCAACCTTCAGGTGAAAATGAAGACCCCAAA